TCCAACACTCTACCCATTGCCCTATTGGAGGCTTGTTGTGAAATGAGCTGCGAATTGCACAACAACAACCATGACGGCTTTTTATACTGAGGAGGTGGAATCTCATCCAGGGGTTGCTAGGTAAAGGGGCTGAACGCAGATTCCGGTGGGTTGTCGTACGGCTTGCGACATCACAAAATGACGGAAGTATAAAACTTGTCGTTAATATACATTAAAAATACATTTACTTACAGTAAATATGCCCCTGGGTGCATTTTTTTGGTCCTAGAACTGTTTTTTTAAGAAGTACATACCCAAAGTTGAGTAAAAAAAAACTTTAAAAAGTGAATTTTTCATAATAGGTGCCCTTTAATAATAAAGTTTTCAAACTGACATTAGTTTGACATTTTATTTATAGAAATTCTGACTGTAAAGTAACCCTAAATGTTAGATTTTAATAGTATTTTATTAAAGTAACAAACCTCCAAGTCTGTCAAGAAATGGATGGCTTCAGGCAGCGTCACCAGGCGGTTCTTATTCAGCACTAGCTTCTTCAGTTTACCACACCTGATCAACAGAAAACCACACGAGGCTCCGTTTCATCATCTCTGAGTGTTTAAAAAAAACTCACTAACGCTTTTGTTACTGCAGAACTGACCTGCAGAGACCCTCAGGGATGAGTTCCAGGTGGTTGTTCGCAGCCATGAATTCGGTGAGGCTGGCCAGCTTGCCCACACCGGGAGGAAGTCCGTCGAAGTCCAGTTTGTTAGAATTGACGTACAGCTTCTTGAGTTTGGACAGCTTACAGATGGCAGACTGGAGAACCAGAATCAGATTTTCAGATAAATGCATGCGGTTTTCTGCTTCTGTTGATGCAGTTTAGAAGAATGACAGAATCAAAAGCTTCTCTATATAGAAATGTGCAGCTGTGGTTCTTACAGGCAGAGAGGTGAGTTGATTGCGACTCAGGTTGAGCGTCTCCAGCTGGGTCCACTGGTCGATACACAGGGAGAGCTCAGAAATCTGATTACTGCTCAGGTTGAGTCTCTTCAGGCTGCCCAATGAATAGAGGCACTCTGGTACCCGAGTCAGGTCGTTGCAGGACAGATCGACATCTGGGGGGAAAACAGGAAGTTGAACAAACAGAAGCGTGTTTATAAAACATCAGGAGTGGGCGTGAGTTACCTGCTAACTGCGTCAGGCCCTCCAGGCTGGTGGGCATGTTGCTCTGCGTCCTCTGGGTGTTCCTCAGGTGAAGCGTCTGTAACGCCACCATGGCTGGGAGCTGCCTGCTCGGATACACGCTTTGTTTCATTTTCAAATAAAAGATGCTAAAAACACTCTGTAAAATAAAAGTTTTTTTTACCGCAGCTGGGCGTGCATGAGTGGATTGTTGTTCAGAACCAGAGTCTGCAGGTGCGCCAGGCGCCTCATCTGCGGCGGCAGGCTGTCCAGCTTGTTGTCGCTCAGGTCCAGATACAGCAGGTCTGTCAGGTTGATGAACAGCTGGTTAGGGATGGAGTCGATGGTGTTGTGGCTCAGGTTCAGCACCAGCATGTTCTTGCTGTTCTCCAGGTCTCGGGGGATCTCAGTCAGCTGATTGTAGCTCAGATCCTAAAAGAGAAGAGAAATTTGAATCCTTTAGAAGAATAACAAAAAGCAGGTGGGCTAAAAAAAAGAAGAAGGAAACACATTCTTGTTCTTGGTTGCCAAAAAATAAATAAATAAATAAATATATATACACACACACACACACACACA